AATTTTAACTGCTACTGTTACTACACCTGCACATGTAACTGAAACTGCAACTGCAAATGTACAGCACTTCTATCTGAAACTGCAATTGCTACTTTACATTCCACTGCTGCTACAACCTTTGCCTGCACATGCAACTAAATCTACAACAAAAACTGAAGATGCAAAGGCAAGTAATACTGCAATTTCACATGAAGCTTTAAATGCAACTACAACTGATTCTGCACATGCAACTACAACTGATTCTGCACATGCAACTGCAACTGAATCTGTACTGCAGATCCTACCAAAACTCTATTTGCTACAGCACATTAAACTGCATTTAAATATGCATCTGCCACAGCACGTAAAACTAATTCTGCACAAAAAAACTGAAACTGCAACTGCAACTTTATTCACACTTGCCACTGCATATGCATCTGCCGCTCCCAAAATACAGCACATGCTACTACAACTGACACTGCATCTGCATATGCTACTGCAACTGCACAAGCAAATGCAACTGCAACTGAACCTGAAACAGCACATGCAACAAGAACTGCACATGATACTGTAACCGTAAATGCCCATGAAACTACAACTGAAACTAAAACTTCTTCTGCATATGCCACTGCAACTGCAACTGCTGCTATAACTAGAAATGCAAATGCTTCTGCATCTGCCACTTAACATAGAACTGCAACAGCAAATGCAACTGCAACTGCACAAGCTACTGCATTTGTTACTGAAACTGACACAAAAACTACACAAATTACTGCAACTGACAGTGTAACTTCACATGCATATGCTACTGCAACTTGATATGCTACTACAACTGCACATAAAACAGCACATGCCACTACAATATTAACTGCACATGCAACTGAGTCTAAAACATCACATGAAACTGCACATGCAACTAAAACTGCAACTGGAAATGCAACTGCAACAGCAACTGTACTGAACATCAAACGGAAACTGAAACTGCCACTGCAACTACGACTGCAACTGGAAATGCAACTGCAATTGTAACTGTACGGCAAATCTAACCGAAACTGCGAACGCTACCGCAAATTCCACTGCCACAGCACAAGCTTCTAAATATGCTACTGCAACTGCACTTAAAACTGCAACTGCAAATTCACATATCACTGTAACTGCGTATGCATCTGCAACAGAACGTGAAACTGCAACTGCACATGCAACTGCTTAATTTAAACGCACATGCAACTGCAACTGCTAGATTAAATCGCACGTGCCACTGCCACTGCACATTAAACTGCAGATGCAGCTAAAACTGCACATGCAAATGCACCTAAAACTGCACATGCAACTGCAACAAATTTAAAAACTGCAACTTTAATTAAACCTGTCTCTGCAGATGCTTCTGAACTTACAACTAATACTGCTTCTACAACTAAATCTGCACAAGCTACTGCAAATTCCACTCTACTGCAAATGCAACTGAGACTGCAACTGATACTGCAAGTTCCACTTAGACTGCACAAGCTACTGCATCGATACTGCAACAGCAACTGCTACTGCACATGACATGCAACTGCATCTTTACTGCAAATTCTATCGAAACTGTTACTGCTACTGAACATCTTACTGAAACTACATATGTATCTAAAAAAGAACATAAATCTGCCACTGCACATTCAACTGCAATTTTTATCTGCACATTTAACTGCAATTGCAACTGACACTGTAAATGCATTTACAAACTTTAACTGGACATATAATAACTGTTACAACATCGTAAGCTACACCTGGAACAGCTACATTACATGCTACTGTAACTGCAACTGTACTGCACATCTAACAAAAACTGCAACTAGTAACAAACATTACACCGAAACTGCATATGCATCTGCAACAGCAGATAAAACTGCAAAAGCACTTGCCACTGCAAGTGCATAGGCTACTGCACTGGAAACTGCTACTGCAAATACAATTGCAAATTTTATTGCAGCATCAACTGCTACTGCATATTTTACATGCATTTGCATATGCTACTGCTACTGCACATGAAACATCAACTGCCACTGCCACTGCATTTGCATCTGCAAACATGACCTGCACAAGCAACTGCGACTGCTGCTGTAACTACAAATGCAACTTTGTGTGCATCTGCAACTGCACATGAATCTGCACATGCAAATACAACTGCAAATGCAAATTTTACTGCAACAGAAACTGTAGTGACCATCGAACCAAAACTGGAACTGCTACTTCACATTTCACTGCGATTGCATATGCATCTGCCACAGCAAATGAAACTGCAACGGAAAATGAAACTGCAACTGCACAAGAAACTGAACTTGTAACTTCGACTAAAACTACAATTTTAAATGTTACTGCAACAGCAACAGTAACTAATTTTTCAATTATTGCTATAATTTAACTGCACTTGAATGTGCTACTGCAACTGCTCATAAAACTACACATTCAACTACAACAACAACTAAACATGCAACTGCAACTTTTACTGTACCTCACATCCACTCGAAACTGCGACTGCTTCTGTACATTCTACTGCAACTGCGTATTCATCTGCGACAGAGCGTCAAACTGCTACGGCAAATGCAACTGTTAAATTTAACTGCAAACGCAACCTTAACTGCACAAGCTACTGCACTTACAACTAAAACTGACACTACAATTAAACAAGTTACTGCAAAAGCAAATGCAGCTGCACATGCAACTGCAACTTGTCTTGCTTCTGCATATGCAACTGCAACTGCAACTTCTGCTGTAACAACAAATGCAGCTTCGACTGCATCTGCAACTGCAACTTCTGCTGTAACAACAAATGCAGCTTCGTCTGCATCTGCAACTGCACATAAAACGGCACATGCAACTACAACTGCAACAACAATTAAAACTGCCACTAAAACTACAAATACAACTGCATATGCATTTGCCACTGCCCAGGAAACTGCACAAAAAACTACAACTGCAACTAAACAAGCTACTGCACTTGCAACTAAGTCTGACACTACAATTGCACAAGTTACTGCAACAGCAACTGCAACTGCACATTTATTTTAAACTGCAACTGTATTGCAAATTTTACTAAGACTGCAACTGCTACTGCACAGACGACTGCAACTCCATATGCATCTAAAAAAGCACATAAATCTGCTACTGCACATGCAACTGTCAACCTTAAATTTATATGAAACTGCAACTGCACCCTAAAATGCATCTGAAAATAAAACTTAACCGGCATAATCAACTGCATTTGCCACGGCTATTGCAACTACCACTACTCATTCAAATGTTACAGCGAATGCATCTGCATCTGCATATAGCATTGCTACGTCAAATAAAACTGCAACTACTAATGCAACTGCACATTAAACTGCACATGCAACTACAACTTCCACTACAGCTACAACTGCCCCTAAAAATACAAATACAACTGCATATGCATCTGCTACTGATTAAGAAACTGCACATGCAAAAATCACTGCAAATTGAAAAGCACAAGAACTTGCAATTAATTCTGACACTACAATTGCGCCATTTACTTCAACAGCAAATGCAACTGCACATGCAACTGCAACTACATCTAAAAATGTCACTTCAAATAAAAATTCAACTGCATAATCTACTGCACATCCAACTGAAACCGCAACAGTTACTGCAAATTCCACTGCGACTGCATATGCATTCGCAAAAGCACATAAAACTTCAACTGTTAAATCAACTTGTACTGCACAAGCTATTAAACATGAAACTGCAACAGACATTACAATTTTAACTGTTACTGTAACAGAAACTGCGACTGCCTATTTAACTGTTACTGCACATGCAAATTCATCTGCATGTGCTCTTGTAACTGCACTCAAAAATGCAACATCAAAAAAAATTTAACTGCATAATCTACTTTACATCAAACCGAAACTGCAACAGTTACTGCACGTTCCACTCTGACTGCATATGCACCTGCAAAAGCACATAAAACTGCAACTGTTGATGCAACTTGAACTGCACAAGCTACTGTACTGGAAACTGCCACAGACACTATAATTTAAAATGCTACTGCATAAGAAACTGCTACTGCAAATCAACCTGCCTCTGCATATGCTACTGGAACTAAACACGAAACTGCAACTTTTACTGCAATCGCATTTGAAACTGCTAACATTACCTGCCTATGCAACTGCAACTGCAACTTCTGCTGTAACAACAAATTCAACTGCGTCAGCATCTGCAACTGCACATAAAACGGCAAATGCAAATACAACTGCAACTGCACATGCATCTGCAACTTCAACTTTATTGCACATCTAACTGAAACTGCAACTGCTACTGCACATACTACTGCAACTCTATACGCATCTGAAACAGCACATAAATCTGCTACTGCACATGCAACTGTTTACTTTAAATGCACATGCAACTGCCACTGCAACTGTACTGCAAAACCTTCAGAAGCTAGAAATGCTATTGTACATTCTTTTACAACTACATATTCATCTTAAACAGCACATAAATCTGCAACTGCACATGCAACTGCCAAATGTAACTGCACTTTAAACTGCAACTGCAACTAAAACTGCACATGCAATTACAAACATCACCTGCACATTGAACTGTTAAAAAACCTAAAACTACAAATGGAACTGCAACTGCACTTGCAACTGTTACTGCAATTGTGTGTCACATCTAACTGAAACTGCTACTTCTACTGCAGATACATCTGCCACTTCATATGCAACTAAAAAAGTACAAAAATCTGTAACAGCACATGCAAATGCCCACTTTAAATGCACATGCAACTGCAAATGCACCTATAAATGAAACTCCAAATACAATTTCTACTGCATAAACATCCACATTTGCAACTACTACTAAAACAACAACTGCAAATAAAACTGCACAGGAATCTGAACCGCTACTGAACATTCTACAGCAACTGCGTACTAATCTTGAACAGAACGTAAAATTGCCACTGCAAATGTTACTGCTACCTTTACCTACACATGCAACTGTAGCTTTAATTAAATTTGTAAATGCAATTGCAAGCCTTAAAAGCATATGCAACTGCAACTGTATCTCAAACTGCAGAGGTAACTAAAATTGCACATGCCACTGTAACCGCAACTGAACAAGCAAATGCAACTGCAACTGCACCTAAAACAGCACATGCAACAAGAACTGCACATGATACTGTAACTGCAAATGCACGTGAAACTGCAACTGCAACTACAACGGCTTCCGCGTATGCAATTGCATCTGCAACTGCTGCTATAACTATAAATGCATCTGCATCTTCATCTGCAACTGCACATAAATCTGCAGCTGCAAATGCAAGTGCAACCGCTAACGCTACTGCACTTGCTACTAAAACTAAAACTGAATCTGCATATGCAACTGCAACTGTAACTGCACATGCTAATACAACAGAATCTGTACTGCCTATTAAACCGAAAAAAAACTGCTAGGGCACATCCTACTGCAACTGCGTATGCATCTACAAAAGAACATGAAACTGCAACTGTAAATGAAACTGCAACTGCAAAAGCTACTGAACCTGTAACTGAAAAAGACACTATAAAATATAATGTAACTGCATAAGAAACTGCAACTGCAAATGAACCTGCCTTTGCATATGCCACTGTAACTACAACTGATTCTGCATATGAAATTGCCACTGCAACTGCTGCTATAAATACAAATGCAAATTCTTCTGCATCTGCAACTAAACATAGAACTGCAACTGCAAATGCAACTGCAACTGTGCTAGCTACTGCATTTGCTACTGAAACTGAAATTACAATTGCACAAGTTTCTGCAACAGCAACTGCAATGGCACATGCAACTGCAACTGTACCTAAAAATGCTACTCTAAATAAGACTTATACTCCATAATCTACTGCACATCCAACCAAAACTGCAACAGTTACTGATTAAACTGTAACTGCCTATGCATCTGCAGTAGCATATAAATCTTTAACTGCAACAGCAAATGCAAATTAAGATGTTCTTGCTCATGAAACTGCACACGCAACTACAACAGCAGCTTCACATGAAACTGAAACTGCTACTGTACCGCACATTAAATTAAAACTGAAACTGCTACTGCACATTTTAATGCAACTGCGTGCATTTGCCACAAAACGTAAAACAAAAACAGCACATGCAACTGCTAAATTTACCAAACATGCCACTGCAACTGAACCTGAAACTGCAATTGCACATGCCACTGTAACCGAAACTGCACATGCAAGTGCAACTACAGTTGCACTAGAAACGGTACATACAAAAAGAACTGCACATGCTACTACAACAAATTATAATACAGCAGCTGCGAATAACACCTGCAACTGCACATGCAACTGATAGTGCCACTGTACTTCAAATCCAATTGAAACTGCTACTGCTACTGCAAATTCCACTAAAACTGCAAAAGCTACTGCATTGTAACTGCCACTGCAACTAGAGTTTTACATGTTACAGCAACAGAAACTGTATTGCACATTTATCTGACACTGTAACTGCTACTGCACATTCCACTAAAACTGCAAAAACATCTGTATGTCCCCTTAATTCTGTCACGGCCAACGCAACTGTATCTGTATAAGCTACTACTCTTGCAATTGCCACTACCACTAAAATTGCATATGTTACTGCCACAGCAGCTGCAACTGCACATTTTACTGTTACTGCTAATTTAAATGTATCTGCATGTGCTACTGCAAGTGAAAAAAAAAATCCTCTTGCAACTACAACAGCCACTGCAGATGAAACAGCAACTGCTACTGCAACAGCACCTGCAACTAATAACATAACCTGCAGATGGAACTGAAACGGCAACACTATTGCACATCTAGCTTAAACTGTAACTGCTACTGCACATTCTACTGCAACGCTATTTGCACCAAAAACATCACAAAAATTTACAACTGCACATGCAACTGCAACTTTATATCCACATGCAACTGCATTTAAATATGCAACTGCAAATAAAACCTTAACTGCACAATCTACTTCACATCTAACCGAAACTGCAACAGTAACTTCACATTCTACAGCAATTGCATGAGCATCTGTCACAGCACATGAAACTGCAACCGAAAATGCAACTGCAACTACAAAAGCTACTAAACTTGAAACTGAAACTGCAACTACAATTTTAAATGTTACTGCAACAGCAACTGCAACTGCTTATTAAACTTGTAATGCAAATGCCACTGCACATTCAACTACAACTGCAACTGTACTACCCATCCATTCTAAACTGCCACTACTGGTGCACATTTCACTGCAACTGCGTATGAATCTGCAACAGAGCGTAAAACTGCAACTGCACATGCAAATGTCAAATTTACCTGCACATGCAACTTTAACTGTACACTTGCCACTGAATCTGGCTCTACAATTGCACAAGTTACTGCAAAAACAACTTTAAATGCACATGCTACTGCAACTAAACCAAAATATGCAACTGCAAATAAAACTTCGACTGCATAATCTACTGCACATATAAACGAAACTGCAACAGTTACAGCACATTTCACTACGACTGCATATGCATCTGAAACAGCACATAAAAATGCAACTGTTAACGCAACTAGAACTACACAAGCTAATGAACTTGGAACTGCTAAAGACACTTCAGATTTAAATGTCACTGCAAAAGAAACTGCAACTGCTTTTTCAACTGTTACTGCAAATTTAACTGCATCTACGTTTGCACATGTTAATGCAACAGCAGCAAGTCCTGCATAACAAACTGTTACTGCTATTGCAACTGCACCTGCATATGCTACTGCAACTTCACATAAAACTGCATTATTTACTGCAACTGCATATTCAACTACAAACACATCCTGCAAATGCTACTGCAACTGCATATTCAACTACTAACACATCCTGCAAATGCTACTGCAACTGCAACTCAAACTGTTTCTCAAAAAGCCACTGCAGCTGAAACAGCAAATTAAATCACACATGCAAATGCATTGGCATCTGCAACCGAACATAAAACAGCACATGCTACTACAACTACAACTGCACATGGAACTGCAAATACAGCTACAACTGCAACTACACATGCAACTGTAACTGCAACTGTACTACATATCCATCCTAGACTACAAGTGCCAACGCACATTCAATTAAAACTGCAAATACATCTGAAGCAGCACATTAAACTGCAACAGCCACTGCAACTGCAACTGCATAGCATACTGAACTTGCAACTGCAACTAAAACTACATTTGCTTATGTTACTGCCACAGCATCTGCAACTGCACATTCAACTGTAACTGCAAATGCAACTGCACTTGCAACTTTATTCACACAGTAAACTGCATATGCATCTGCAACTGCACATAAAACGGCACATGCCACTAAAACTGCAACTGCACATGCAACTGCTACTTTACTGCAAATCCAACTAAAAAAGCAAATGCTACTGCACATTCAACTGCAACTGCATATGCTACTAATACTGCACAGAAAACTGCAACTGCTATTGCAACTGCACATAAACTGCACATGCCACTACATCTTCAATTGTAGACGACTCTGCATCTAAAACTGCATATGAAACGACACATGGAAATAAAACTACAACTTAAAATGCCACTGCAACTAAAAATGCAACTGCAACTGCAACTGTACTGCAAGTCTAACCCAAACTGCAACTGTTACTGATAATTCCACTGCAACTGCACAAGCTTCTGCATTGCAACTGCAACAGTAATTAAAACTGCAAAAGCAACTGCAACTGTCACTGTACTGCAAATCCTACAAAAACTGCTACCGCTACTGTAAACTTCCCTGAATTTTAGCTTCTGTAATAAAACTGCCACAGTAACTGCTACTGCTACTATCACTGCACATGCAATTGCCAATTTTAACTAAACATAAAACTGCAACTGCACATGAAACAGCACATGCAGTTACAAATGCAACTGTAAATTTTACTGCACCAGCAACTGTACTGCCTATCTAACTGAAACTAAAACTGCTACTGCACATACCCCTGCCACTGCATATGCATCAGCAAAAGCACATAAAACTGCAACTGCAAATGCAGCTTTAAGTGCACAAGCTACTAAACTTCAAACTGCCACTGACACAACAATTTTAAGTGTTACTGCAACAGCAACTGCAACTGCTTACTCAACTGTTACTGCAAATGCAACTGCATCTGCAACTGCCACTGCATCTATAACTGCTTCTGCATTTGCAACTGCAACTGCAGCTGCTGCTGTAACTACACATGTCACTTTGTCTGCATCTGCAACAGCACATGAAACTGCACATGAAACTACAACTGCAACTGCACATGATATTGCAACAGCAACTGTACTGCCATAACAACTGAAATTTAAACTGCTACTGCACATTCTCCTGCGATTGCATATTCATCTGCAAAAGCACATGAAACTGCAACAGCAAATGCTACTGCAACTGCACATGCTACTAACCTTAAAACTGCAACTGACACTAAAATTTTAAATATAACTGTAACAGAAACTGCAAGTGCCTATTTAACTGTAACATTCAAATGCAACTGCTTCTGCATGTTCTACTGGAACTGCAGATGCTTTTGCACTGGCAACTATTACCGCACCTACAACTGCAACTGCCACTGTACTGCAAATCCAACTAAAACTTCCACTGCTACTGCAAATTCCACTGAAACTGCACAAACTACTGCATTGCAACTGCAACTAAAAATAGAATTTCACATCATACTGCTACAGCAATTGTATTGCTTATCCAACCGAAACTATAACTGCTACTGCACATTCAACTGCAACTCTATATGCTTCTAGAAAAGCGTATAAATCTGCAACTGCACATGCAACTGTTAAGTTTAAATGCACATACAACAGCGACTTTTACTAAAAATGCAACTAAAAATACAATATTAACTGCATAGACTACTGCACTTACAACTGGTACTGCAACTACAACTTCCCCTAAAACTGTACATGCAACTGAATCTACAAATGCGACTGTAACCGCCACTACACATGCAAATACAGCTGCAACAGCACCTGCCTATGCTACTGCTACAGCACATAAGACTGCAACTGCAACTGCATCTGCACATGCAACTGCACACCTAAATTTAAAAATCTTGTTGTTTTGAGGTTTGATTTTACTGTGTAATCTAAGCCTGATACAAAATGTTTTACTATGTCTTATTTTGTTTGTTCTATCAAATAGTCTGGTGTATGATTTTGGTCGCCATTTATTGAATTTATTACTTCTGCTTTCCATTTCCTCACCCTGAATGCATATTTTACAACTGATTCATTCCGTCCTTGTTTTAAATTATAAATTGCGTTCAAATAATCACTGATTCTTTGGCAAGGAGAGAACAATCGTTTATTTTGTGGCAAATATGCATCTACTGACTAAAATTTTGTGTACCCCACTAACATTTCTGAAGCAACCGCTAAACTATGTTTAAAATCGATAATTAGATCATTGATTGGGTATCCCTGTAAGACTCAAGCTACTTGATCGCAAGCGTTCGTAAATGTATGTACAGTACTATTTTCACCGTCAAATTTCGGTATTGTTTCTAGATGTTCTTTTGGTCGAAAAATACTGCTATTTTGATTAAAAGGGTGAGTTGGTGGTTGGGGAAAATGTCCTAGTAAAAGGTTGTGTGTTCAATAAGATAGGATTTGCCTTTGGAGTAGATTGTGTTGCCTCGCGTGTTTTCGACTTGATTGAGCGGCGAATTCTTCTTTTTCTTTAAAGAATTGTTTTCCTTCTTCCTCTAATTGTCGTCTCTCTAACTCAAATCTTTTCTTTTCTTCGTTTACACGTTTTTTTGCATTGTAGCCTGTTCCGAAAATGAGTACTTTTGACACCAATTGTTATGTCCGAAAACGCAATTT